AATCAGGATCAGAGATCGCGAGTCAGTCGACATCAGGATCAGGGATCGCGAGTCAGTCGACTAAGAACGGCGTTAAGAATACAGTACCTGGTTTCGAAGTTGCTGCGTCCTCCATCTCGTGGTCATCAGCCCGGGCTGAGGTTTCAGAAGTAGCAGCACTGCAACTCCAAAGGATCAGTCGACTAACTTCAGCGTCGACCAGAGACAAAGTTCACACAAAATAAGAAGACTTAAGCAGAACGATTACCCTGATATGGTGGGGATGGACACCTTCATCTTCGGCAGGAGCTTGATCGGCTTCGACGAGGCCGCCCTGGGCTGCTTCGGCGCCTTTTCAGTCGGCACCGGAGAGGTGGTCCGAGGGCGCTTGGTCGACTGAGCAACGGTCGCAACCCCCTTGCCACGTTCAGTTGAAGGGTCGTGGACAAGATTCGACCGCCTTTCTGAACGCGGTGGTACGACCTCCTCCTCCTCTTCCTCCTCGTCTTCAGCGTCATCTTCATCACCGTCATCATCATCATCGTCATCATCATCCTCAGCAACGTCCGAGTCCCATTCCTCCTCCTCCTGGATCTCGCCCCCACTTGCCTCACCCTCCTCAGTCGGAGCTTGTGCCCCATTGGGCATCGAGTACAGCTCGGTGAGGGCCTGGTAGATATCAAGACAAGGATCAATCGACCAGTCGGCAGGGTAAACAGAAACGAATGTGACAAGGACACAATGGAGAGCAGAGCAAGCGTACCTTGTTTGGATCGCTGTTGTGGTCGAGTGGAGGAATCCTTCTGGCTCCACGTGGGTTATCCTTGTTTCCGGTAATGGCTGCCATCCATCTTTCCAGAGTGACATCGTCGACTGCTTCTGGATGGACTCGAGTCTCGTCTTCGGTCCCACAGTACAACCACATGCAGTGGCTCCGGAACTGAAGGGGCTGGATGCGACGCCTAAGGAAGACCTCCAGGAGGTCCATGCCCGTCACTCCCTCCCGAACCAACTGCACCACGCGCTCCATCAACATCTTCACGTCAGCTTTCTCCTCCGGAATCAACTTCAGAGAGGAGGGCTTGTTCACTCGGTCCATGGTAAACTGAGGGAGTCCACTCGACTGCCCCGGCGTCGACTGGTCCTGGCAGTAGAACCAGGTCGACTGCCAGCCTCTGACTGACTTGGGAAAGGTCATGGGCGGGAAGGTGCTCTTATTCCTCACCTGGATCCCCAGACCCCCACACATTTGGACGACTCGGGTTCTCTCATCACCTGGGCTCGCCTTCTTCACGGTCTGAGAGCGACACGTGAATATATGCTTGAACAAACCCCAGTGCGGTCGGCAGCCCAAGAAACCCTCACACATGGACACAAATGCGGCAAGATAGGCGATAGAATTTGGGGTAAAGTGGTGGAGCTGCGCTCCAAAGAAGTTCAAGAAGCCACGGAAGAAAATACTCGGCGGCAAAGAAAATCCACGATCAACATGGGTGGCCAAGAGCACACACTCACCCTCTTCTGGCTGGGGCTGCCACTCCTTCCCCGGAAGCCTCGCAGCTCCATGAGGGATCAAGCCCTCGTTGGCCATGTCGAGGAGGTCTTTTTCTGTGATGGTCGACTGGATCCAGTCTCCTTGGACCCAGCCCTTCGGTAGGCGGGATCTGGACGAAGACCCGCCGCGGCTGGTAGATCTCCCCTTCGCCTTCTCCGACGCCGACGCCTTCTTCGCACGTTCCAGCGCCGCCGTCTTCTCCTTGTCCATGGTTGCCGGCGAGATGCGCGCGGGGAAGTTGTGCGGGGGCGAGAGCGAGCGCGCTGGACGGGGACGAAGGGAGCAGAGAGAGAGAGAGAATGCTGAGGCACAATACAGAAATCCACGCCGGGCGCATTTATAAGGTCCCTTCCGAGTGGATGACAGGTGGGCCCGGTCGATCTAATCATATCCAGGGACAGTTATGCAGACGGGATACGTGGCGAAGAAAGCGGCGCGGAGATCGAGGCGTCTATGTCCCGTCCCATCCGAACGCCGCGGTCCGCTCCGCTTCGCGCGCGTCCCCAAATTTCGCATCCCGCGGAATCCGCGAACAGCAGATCGGTCTGTCAGACACGGGGTTTCCCGCGATCCGTCGCTCGGAGATCGTCGAAGCCCGAAAGATCACTCGACGCAAGAAGAGAATGGATCGAGTCGACTGAAGACAAGTTGCTCACTGTCGACGAAGAGATTCTTTGGTCCAGAACAACGCACGACCAGAGCGCAAAGGTTAATCGGAAACGACATCAACTCCTTCCTCACTCGAAGCCTCAATCCATTCGGGGGCTAATGATGGGGTTATGTACCTAGGATAGGGTCATGGACCTGATCTAAGTACCTTACCCAAGGACACCCTTAGAAGAAGTCGCCTTCCAGTCGACCAACGAGGGACACACTCGACTGACTTGAAGGACTCGACCACGAAGACTCACTCGACCACCAGAAGGTCAAGAGGCACTCTGCACTGCAACGGCCTGTAATTAAGTAGACTTTATGATAGTAAAGACACTATTATGTGGGGCGTTACCAGTAACGCCCCGGACTTAACTCACCTTAAACCCTATCCTACGTGGGCTGGCTGGGGTCCTGGCGCACTCTATATAAGCCACCCCCCTCCACAGGCAGAGGGGTTCGGCACCTTGTAACTCATATACTCATAATCCACTCGACCGCCTCCGGGCTCCGAGACGTAGGGCTATTACTTCTTCCGAGAAGGGCCTGAACTCGTACACCCCTTGTGTTTACAACCTCTCCATAGCTAGGACCTTGCCTCTCCATACCTACCCCCCACTCTACTGTCAGGCTTAGAACCACGACAACTAGTGAATTTACAAACTTTGCTTCCATGTGGTGGAGTGAATATTGTCGTATTAATGCGAATAATGTACGTACTACTTGGGATGGTTTAAAACGAGCTATGCGACAACGCTATGTTCCTTCATATTATGCTCGTGACAAACTAAATGAATTGCAACGTTTAAAACAAGGTAGCAGTTCTGTAGAGGATTATTATCAAGAATTGCAAACTGGCTTAGTGCGATGTGGTTTAGTTGAAACCGAAGATGCTATGATGGCTAGATTTTTAGGTGGTTTGAATCATAATATTCAGGATATCTTGGACTATAAGGAGTACAACTCTATTACTCGTTTGTTTCATTTTGCCCCGCATTGCCGGCTCAGCTTCTTCCAGCATTACCGACTCAGCTTCTTCCCCCATTGTTGTATCATCGTATTCAGGGAACCCATGGCCAGGATAGCTATCATCGTCCTCTTCTTCTTCATTGTATTCCATCATAACCCCTCTTTCTCCGTGCTTGGTCCAAACATTATAGTGGGGCATGAAATCGGACTCAAACAGGTGGACGTGAATGGTTCATGACGTAGAGTAATTGTGACCATTCTTACAGCCAGCACATGGACAAGGCATAAAACCATCCGCCCGCTTGTTTGCCTCAGCCGCAATCAGAAAAGTATGCACGCCCTCAACGAACTGGGGAGAGCATCGGTCATCGTACATCCATTGTCGGCTCATCTTCATTACACAACACCGGATAGACCAAATTAATACAAGTTCATACATAAAATTCATACAACACTTAAATGCAACAAACAAATAACTCTCTAGCTAAAGCATTTAAATGCAACAACAAATGCGATCAAGATCGCAACTAAGGTAACAATGGATCCAACAACATAATGATACCAAGCCTCACTATCGATGGCATATTTTCTAATCTTTCTAATCTTCAAACGCATTTTCTCCATCTTAATCTTGTGATCATCGACGACATCGGCAACCTGCAACTCCAATTCCATCTTCTCCCCCTCAATTCTTTTCAATTTTTCTTTCAAGTACTCGTTTTCTCTTTCAACTAAATTTAACCTCTCGACAATAGGGTCGGTTGGAATTTCCGGTTCACATACCTCCTAGAAAAAAATTCTATGTCAACTTGATGGGCATAATTTGTCATAAACACGAAATGCAACTAGTTTTAAAAGAGAATATATATACCACATCCGAATCATTGCAAGAGTAAATCTAGCAATGAGAGATGAAAGGACAAAGTTGCTAACCTTTGTGATCATTTCAATGGATGGGGGCCTTCAAATCTTGACAAAATTTGGGCAAAATGTGTTATGAGCTCGAGAGGAAGAGGGGAAGAACAGAGAGGAGAGGGGAAAGGGGAAGAACAGAGCGAGCTCGGGTGGACGAAGGGTTTATGTAGGACGACCTTTAGTACCGGTTCGTGCCAAGAACCGGTACTAAAGGGGATGGAGGGGCCCCAGTCTGACAACATCCTGCCACCACTCTCATTAGTACCGGTTCGTGGCATGAATCGGTGCTAAAGGTTCGCCACGAACCGGTACTAATGAAAGCGGCCCGGCTAGCCTTTGGAACCGGCACTAATGTATACATTAGTGCCGGCTCAAATACAAACCGGCACTAATGTGCTTCACGTTTGACCCTTTTTCTACTAGTGTACATATCATAGTCAATTGATAACTGCCTAAGTTGAATGCCCACTTTAATTTATTTCCCATTTGCTCGAAAGCTTTTGCACCCTCATCTATGCAACCAGATGACAAGTACTTGGATGGATCGAGCAAGGGATAACTAGAACAAACCAAATCAAATCAAACCAAAATAGAATGCACAATACGACATCATGGCAATGTCGATGTAGAGAACTAACAAACCAATCAAACAGGAGGCAGAAAGCTTCAGGTAGGTAGCACTTGGTTTACGCATATTGTGTTGAACGAAGTGCTGAAGATGAACTCACGGAAATGATGCATTACCTAAAGCAAAAAAAAAAAACAATGGTACAAAACATTAACCACATATACTTGCACTTTCTAGAAAAGAAAAGGTGGTAACTTGGTTCGACATACAAATAGGTAAGTTTCTTTGCAGAGTAAAGAAAGATAGAGCTATATATATATGTATAGATCACCTGAGTAGGCTACCTCAGGACAGCTGGGCCTTCTAGTACAACGAGTGGCTCGCCTCATAGAGGGAAGGATGGTGGTACTTCTCCAACCCATCCCACTCCAGGTTGTCCCACCATTCCTTCTCGCAATCCACCTTGGGCGGCATGGTGTTGCGTCCGACCAATGGCAGACGCTTGAGGCTGCAACAGCCCCTGATCTTGATGGTCTCTAGTTTAGGCGCCCACATCCTACACCCACTAATGCGCTGCAGCATGGGGAGCTCGTGCAGGTGGATGTGCCTCAGCTTTGGAAATTCTAGAATTTTATCCTGCTCTTGAAGCTGAGTGTCCAAAGGGAAGACCTCCCTGAGATCACCACAGTACACTATCTCGAGGGTCTCCAGTGCACCCAAGGTGTCTCCCTCCCATTTGGAGAAGGGGAGAACATGTACGAGCCTGGGGCAATGGTTCAGATGCAAGAGGTTCAGGTTATAAAAGTAGCTTTGGGTTGGCCTGTCCCAGATGTAGCATGCAGAGAGGAGCTGGGAGGCCCAGAATTTCTCCAGCCAGAAAAAGCTCTTCACATTACTGCCTTCAGGAGTAGTGAAGACCGTGTGTAACTTGGGGCACCTTTCCATTCGACACCATCTTATACTTCTCCATCCTGATCCTTGGGGTGGTGCAGGGATACTGGTGATGGCCGGGTTATCGTACACATGCAGTGATGTAGCCGCTTCACATAAAAAATGAGGCAATAATAAAGCACAAGTATCTGCCTGTCCAGGGATACTGGTGATGGACGGGTTATCCTCCAAGAGTTTGTTGCTCTGCCCGTGCATGATCACATTTATGATACATGCAACCACTTGGGTCCATTGCCTTACAAATATCTTGGGGCAGTCCCGCATCATCACTGTTGCAACTGGGCCGTCCTTCAGTATATCTCTATACTTCGAGTCCATTAAGGTACTTGTATGCGGTTGGACTTGCACTAGTTCGTCACTGCTTGTTCCTTGGATGTTGCTACCACCGACGGTAGCTGCATCACAGACATCAATATGTATGGATGAGCCTCCTAAATACCATCTTACAGGAGAAAGCGACCTAAGGAACCTTGTATCCATGAGAGAAATCCGCCATCGAGCCTTAAATATTTCTTCTTTTTGTCGTTGGATGGATGGATCGACATGTGGATGAGCAAGTGGTGCTTCCCCTCCGTCAGCTGATGTTGATGTCGACATGGTGTCGATACTCAGCAGCACACCAAACCATCCTTCCCTTACTACCTTCTGAGGCCACAATATTGCCCGGAGCTTCTCACAGCCTAGCAAGATAAGCTTCTTGGGGATTGAACTGGTTTCCACTCCTCCAAAGTCGAGCGTTTTTACTCTTGTGCCTGAGAGGTCCAGCTCATTGAGATTCCCCAATGATCCTTTCAAGAACAGGTTCTTCAATTCTTTGCATCCCCTAAAAGAGATAATCTTTAACCAATCACATCCACCAATAATCACAGTTTTGAGGCTATTGTTGCCTTCTGGCCCAGATAAGGTTTTCATGCGTTTTCTGATGATATTTCCAGAAAAATCAAGAAGCTCCATGTTCCCCATATCTGAGAACACATTGTTGTTGAAGTAGCAGGTGGACTTTGTTACTCGGAGCTTGCGAATGTTATGCAGTCGTCCCTGTAGATGGCTCATGTCCCAGTTCCTGGCTCCCATCACGTTTAGATCCCTCAGCTGGATCATGAGATCCATTACCCTCGCGGACAAGATCTGATCACAATCCGGGTGGCGCAGGTCAAGCACCCACAAACTTTGGAAGCATTCCCACAACATTGTGGTGTTGTGGTCCGACTCCTCCTCCTTTTCTGCATCTATGTCGTTCTTGTTTGGATGTCTTGGCAGTGATCAAGCCACATGAATCTCAGGCTGTGGCAACATAGGAATGGAGGCAATGAGAAGCTAAAGGTACACCTTGAGAGCTTGAGCACGCCGAGCCCGTGTGAGTGCTGAAACATGTCATCGGGCATAACTCCAGAGGGGTTGAGCACAAATCGACAAGTTGCTTTTGAAATCCAGTACGGAATATGCTCGGTAGACCTTGACAGGTGAGAGGAAGGCATTATTGTTAAATCACCAATATTATGCCGGTTTTCAGTGCCCAACAAACGCAGCTCACGCTGTAGAACATCTCCAACTTGCCAAGCTCTCTCAATGTCTGCCAGTGTGATGATCCCATCGCATACCCAGTAGTTACTGGTGTGGACAACCCAGTCGTAGTCAACGATGTGAGGGCCAATGCAGCATCGTTTCAGCATATATTTGGCACACTCAGCAGCAATTGCCGGATCAATGATGAAATGACCATCCTTATTGCGGGAAACTTGTGCAGCCTCATGGTGCACTAGATAAGACCAAAGGTTTTGTGGATCTCGCCCACCACTGGTAGCTGAAATAACAACATGTGTTGTTGTGCTCTTCTTCACATTGTCTATCACCTTGGGGTCAAGTCGAAATCTCCCTCGAAAAGTCCACAGCATCTTGCTATTGGTATACCTGCTGGAATTTAGTCTATTGTGGGCAGCCCAATAACTATTTCAGAAATTCCTAATAAATCCTAGAGGCCCACTTAGCCCATTTGTGCAAGGCAAGGGATACTACTAAAGTTTAGTCCCACATTGCTAGTTGAGTGGGAGTTGGACCTCCTTATAAGGGAGGTTCTTTCCCCACTTGTACGAGCATGGGAACAAGAGGGATATCCACGCGCGCTCCTCCTCCGCCGCCTCGCCCCGCCGCGGGTTGCGGGAATGAGGCGAACCGATATCTAAAAGATTTTTGCGAAAGTGGAGGTTTTTGGGGAGCGCTCTGCGCGACTACTGACTGATTCGTTCGTCACGGACGCCCCGGACTCCGACGACGACTTCTTCCCCGACGTCAACAACCTCCTCGACGACATGGCCGGCGAGGACATCGACCCCAAGTCCAGTGCTACCGCTGCTGCTGTCCTGTACATCCTCTCTATTGCTGCTTCTTCTAGTGTCCGACCCAAGTTCATGAAGAATCCTTTCGACAGCCACGTCAATGGAGTCCGCCTTGATGACCTAGATGTGTGTGCAGAGGGGACTTGCGAATCAGTTCAATGTTAAAACTACGTAACCAATACTAAATGACAGAACACACAATAAGTCGATTGATGATTAACTGGGCATGCATATTAGTATGCACACACATGATCTGAACTAACTAATGACCGTGCTGATATATAGAAAACTACCCAAATGTACCACAATTAAATATTTTACAAACTAGGCTCAAGTAGATGTAAAAATACCTCTGTACGCATAGCGAATTTGCCAGATCTATCAATCTATATTGCCTCTAAGTTGATTCAATTTTCGGCTTAAGATCCGGTCAGCTCTTCAACAATATCCTAACCTCCTGTATACATTGATATGCAAGAAGGCACAATAAATAAAACTAGCTTCATAAATCTGAAGAAGCAGGCAGCATGTGAGATGAGCTAGTTTAATACTATATACCTTGGTTAAGTTGAACATCTGGAATTATCTTGAGAGTACATAGCTCGATTGAAGCCAAATAGATTATCCAGGTGCTAGTACAAGATGGCCGGATGAAGAGCCAAGAAGGGACAATTAGCGTGCTTCATGCTTTTGTGTGTGCGTGTGTGTGTGCGCGCGCGCAAATGCCTTAGACAGAATACAAGAAAGTGGTGATCCCTTTCCTTTTGCTGTTTCATTGAGAGAATTACCTTTTGCTTTTCACTAAAGACAGAAATCAGTTCTTTGCTTGTGGGTGGCTGGCTGCAGGATTTAAAGATAAAGATGAAAGATTGCAAAGGCTGTCCATTCACTGTCCAATCTTTTGTGTATTTCAAGGCACTACATTGGAAGAAACTCCGAAGTATGGCATACAGATGTGGGTTAACTTGCAAATTGCCATCGGGGAAAGGTAAGACATGCTACTTGTTATGTTGTGGAATGCGGCTATACTGCAACTGCCGCACCTGAAAATGTTTTAGGGTTACCTTAAGTTAAATATATCCCACGACCCACGACCCTCTCGCGTCGCCCCCCTCGCGGGCGACACGAGAGGCGACTGCCCAGCCGCCAGCGACCCCTCGACCTCCCTCCTCCCCTTTCGTCGCCGCCTGGGGTTGGCGCCGGGCTAAGCTCGTGCGTTGGCCGGCGGTGGCGGAGGGTTGTTCCTCCTTCTCCCGGATCTGTGGCGAGGGGGCTAGATCCGTGAGGGGGGGAGGGGGGCTCTCCCTTGATCCACGACGCCTTCCGGCGGCGGTGCTTGGCGGCACGGGTGTTTTTCGGATGTGCGCAGCATGGAGATCGGCTGGGCGTGGCCTGAGGATGGAGGTGGGGTTCGGCGTGGCCGGTGGCGTCGGCGGCGACAACTGGCACGGATCCGGCCATGGTGGTGGCGGCGTCCCTTCCGCCGGGGACGACGGGCCAGGAAGTGGGTCCTTGTGGCGACACCGGTGGCAACGGATCTTGGGATCCCATGTCCGGGCTCGTCGTAGGATGTGCGTGGCGGCCGGAGCTTCCGCCAGTGTCGACGGCGCTTGATGCGGGATCGTGGCGGCGGTTGCCGTTGTATGGGCGACGACAGCGACTGGCGCGATGGTGGGTGCTCCCTGTAGCGCCCGCAATCGGGGCGGCGGCCCCTCTTCATCAACGGCGGCGGACTCCGGGGTCGTGTGGGCCACTCGGAGTCCAGATCTCGAGATGGTGACGGCCTTCTGAGGCTGGTGGCGGTATGGGACGTCCCTTCCATCAACAGATCGGGTTCAATGCGGCTCGACATGTGACACATGAGCCTCACTTGGAGTTGTCGGGCAGTGCTTGTCATCGGCAGGTGAAGTCACCGGTGGATGTGCTATCGGCGGATGCTACGCACGACGTCTTATACGGAGACGTCAAGTCATGCCTGCTACCGGAAGGTGATGCACAGAGGCTCTGGCGGAGTTGTCAAGTTTAGCCTATTGTTGTTGGATCGAAGGTGGTGCGACAGTAGCGGGAGGCAGGCGGTATGAGACGTCTTTGTCTTCTGTTGTCTCCTCCAGAGGTATCCAACTATCGAGGTGTCGGTAGACGGATAAAGGCGGATGGTACAGACAGCTTCAATGACGAGCTTATGCACTCTGGTGAAAATACAAGATCTCTGATCAGGCTATGTCGTCGCGCGCCTGCGCCGTGTCCTTCCTGAAGGTGGTGGATTGAAGCTTTGCTTTGGGGATAAAAATCCAAAGTTCAACCTTGTGGTGGACTCGCCATCATCGGTGCACGTGCGGCGATTCCTTTTTGAAGGCGTAGCCATGGAGTTGTGTATTTTTCACATATGTTGTGTCTCGTATCATAGGGTCAGTGGTTATCTGGAGGAATTACTGCCGCGAGGTATATGAGCTCAGGCTTTGTTTTTCGCTTTTTTTTCCGGGTCGATAATATTCGGCTGCTGGATTTTGGTCTATTAATAATATATGGCTGCATGCATCATCTTGATGCAGAGGCCGGGGGTTATCCTTCTTTTCAAAAAAAAAAAACTTAAGTTAAATAGCTGGTTTCGGTGTGAGTAATTAATTACTCCCTCCGTTTCTAAATATAAGCCCTTCTAGATATTTCAGTACGGACTTCATATAGAAGATGTATATAGACCACTGTTTTAAATAGCCCGCTATAGCTCCGCTATAGCACGCTATAGCGTTTACAAAAGGTCTTGCGCTAAGAGACTTTGATCCAAACAAATGAACAAACATTTTAAATAGCGCGCTATAGCTTCGCTATAGCACGCTATAGCATTTGGAAGAGGTCCGCCGCTAAGATGCTTAGCGCGCTATTTAAAACTTTGATATAGACATATTTTAGAGTGTAGATTTACTGATTCTACTCCGTATGTAGTTTATATTGAAATCTCTAAAAAGTCTTATATTTAGTAAAGGAGGGAGTACATTTCTTAGATGCTTAGGAGATGTCACAACACGATAAGAAAGAGGCATGGTGCAGAGAGTAAGCATAATAACTGCCGTTACATGAAAATAGAATACACTTTTGCTGACTGTTTTTATGTCGAAAGGATTGGTAAGACAAGCAAAACAAATAGATCGTGTTCTTGACAGATAGCAGTACACGCACATAACAGTGTGCCATCGAAAATATCCATTCTGAAGATACTGTCTGAACTAAACACACTACACGCAGCATTTACACATCTGTCAGGTACGGTCAGAAACATTGCATAGTCAATCTAGAACAACGCGCAACTTTCAGTTTAAGTGAAAAATTTGAGCATAGAGCCGGTGGAAACAAAAAAAGCTACAGCAGTGAGCAAGGAGCAGGGGCAGGCACACCGGTTTCTGACAGAGGGTTGGGCTCCGTGGGGTGCTGCTTCTGGTACGCGGAGGGAGGGGGCGGCTCGGACCGGCAACTTCTGAGGAATACGGCCCACCATGCACGAGGTTCCACGCGTCAGACGCCCGGCCCAGGCAAGCCCATTAATAAAGCCCAAACACTGACTAAAAAAATGAGGCCCGAACTTTTCCCCTTAAAGCCCGTCGAGCCCATTTGCAAGAGAGGCAGGTTTTCTTTCTTGACCTGAAGACAGACAACTACTGTATTTTTTCACGGAAACGTTTTTTTTCCCTTTAGGTCGGAACTTAGCTCATATACTAGCGAGAGCCAGATTGCGGGGCTATTTGATTCTAGACTTTGCATGGGCACACTTAGCCACACATTTTTGCCAAGCTTATTTAAGATTAATTCATCAAAATGAGAGCCACAAATTGGACATCTTTTGTATATATGCTATGTGGG